TCCAGTGGTGACCAACCGTTTCGGATGGAAAGCCTTCTGCGAGAAGTGCAACGACTGGACGACAACCCCATCGGCGACGAGTCGTTCGCAGCGTTCGCCCAAAGAGGCCAACAATGGACTCAAGAGTTCGCTGCCGACCAGCGCCTGGACTACGGGTTTGGTTTGGAGTCGGAGCCTCGGCTGCGATTGGATCAGGAGTTGGCGGACGCGAAGTGGGCCGACGAGTACTTGGCGGAGACGGAGCGCCAGTTCACACCCAACCCGTTGGACACCACTGTTGTGGCCGCCGACCAGTGGTTGGATGAGTTCCGCGCCGCCGAAGACCCGCTGAGTTTGACCGCAGAGGCGAACAAATTGATGGAATCGATTGATCCGTCGCTCAGCGAAACAGAGTTCGTTCGCTTCGTCCAAAAGATGGGAAACTCTGAGCTCTCGCTCGACAGCGCGACCACAGCTGACAACTGGTCCCAAGACTACGCACAACAGCTCAACAAACGGGCCGACAATTGGGCCCAAGAGTTGACGAATGAGTTGACGAATCAGAAGACGTCCGAAGAGGAGCGGCACGACTTGGACGACGACACGGAGTTTTGGTCCAAACTGGCGAAGGACTGGAAGGAAATTGGTTTAGTCGACGACCAGTCGTCGGCCGACAGCCAATGGGCGTCCGATTTCATGGCCGCCAAAGACGAGTATAAGTTCAACGAAGAGAATCCACTGCGAGAGCACCCGAACCCCTTCGAGGAGGGCCTTAAGAAGCTCAAGGAGGGGGACATACCGTCGGCGGTGTTGCTGTTCGAGGCGGCCGTCCAGAGGGAGCCCAACGATCCGGTTGTTTGGCAATACTTGGGGACAACTCAGGCCGAGAACGAACACGACTCGGCCGCCATCGCCGCCCTCACGAAGTGTCTGTCCCTCGAGCCCAACGACTTGAAGGCGTTGATGGCATTGGCGGTCAGCTATACGAACGAATCGATGCAAACCCAGGCGTGCAATACATTGAAGGAATGGCTCAAACGGAACCCCAAATACCAGAACCTTTTACCTCAAGAGACGCCAACCGCACAATCAAATGTCGACGCCTTTGGGTTCGGACCGCCGTATGCTATCTCTTCGATCATCACTTCGGGTCAACACAAAGAAGTAAAGGAGTTGTTTATAGCGGCCGCCCGTCAGTCGCCCACCGATGCCGACCCCGACGTCCAGTGCGGGTTAGGGGTGCTGTTCAACCTGTCGGGCGAGTACGAGCGGGCGGCCGATTGTTTTCAATCCGCACTCCAGGTGCGACCCAACGACAGTTTGCTGTGGAACCGGTTGGGCGCCACTCTCGCCAATGGCAGCCAATCCGAGGAGGCCATCAACGCATACCGGGAGGCGCTGGCCATTAGCCCCGGCTTTATTCGGTCGCGATTTAACTTAGGCATCAGTTGTATCAATTTGGGCGCCTATAGGGAAGCGGCCGAACACTTTCTCACTGTCCTCAACCTTCAGGCGGCCGGTCGCGGCCCAGTAGGCAGTCGGCCGCTCACGTCCGCCAACGTGTGGTCGACCCTACGAATGGTCATGACTTTGATGAATCGCATGGATCTGTTGCCATTCGTCGACAGCAGAGAGTTAGAGAAACTGAATAACGAATTTCAGATGACTGACCAAAACACATGACCAGTCAATGAGCATAGTTTCGCCCAATTATGTCGTTTCTGGCGCTGGTATTCAACTGTCTATTCTGATTGGTATCTGACGAGCAGTTAACTATTTTATGTTAATCTTCAATATTGTTTACTCATTATATATCTCAATAGATATCAAATAAAATTGTTTTTTAAATATTTGTTTAAATGGTGTTATTTTTATTGACCGCTATTTGTATTCTGCACTCGGAGTTGCAATTAATTTTGTTGACTATATTTGCGTCACTGAAATGTGTTATTTGTTTTGTAAGTTTGCGTTTGAATACCAATTTGTTGGCGACTAATGAATAACTAGCCATTGGTTTGTATTGTATTAACTGGTTATTCATGTCACGTATGGTTGAAATGGTTTGAACGAGACTTGTGTTAAAATTGTAAAAATGAGATCTCATTTCTTATTTAAAGAATTTATCCATTATTACTGCAAACATTGCATTTAATTGTCAAAATTTGGATTAGAAATTCATTTAAACCATAGAAACGAACTAAAAATAAAGTTTATATGAAAACTAAAACATTTGGGTATTTGTCACAATATTTAAACACTAGTCTACTACAGTACCACAATTGACATTTTTATTTTGTACCATAGGAATTTTTATATGACTGCATACAGAATGCAATTTATAACATTAAATATAGTTATAATTGTTTTCCTATATATTGCACTCATTGATACACAAAAGTCAAAATCATTGAAGTCTACAAAAAATACGAAAAACTCCAAAGTATTTCAAGAATATTCTTGAAAACTAAATATCACTAAAATATATGATAATTTCATTACAGGATGTGATCAAAAAGGAAACTCCATTTATCCAGAAGTTCTACACCAAGACATTAGGAGAGATCAGATATGACAAGACCAAGGGTCGGCTACCTCCGAAGGGAACTATACTTAACTGTATTGTCAAATGCTCGGCATTACATGGATGTCATTGCGTGCGGTAAGCATTATATTAGACATGAGTTGTAAAAATTGCAATAATATTTGATTTCAGAGTGAATGTGGAGACCAATGAATGCAATACTTTCCTATCGACTGTCGACGACCCAAATTCCGAGCGAAATCAGTCGGTGTTAGAGAAATACGTCTACTTTACTAATAACGGTGACAGAGAAGGAAATGGAGGTATCATTGAATGCTATATTTCTGTGATGAATATACTCTTGAAATGTATTTTCCGTTTGCAGTGAATCTGGCGATCGGAAAGAAAGTGACCCAAAGCTCGACATACAATCAATTCCAGGCCTCGAAGGCTATCGACAACGACAGCCGCACTGAGAGTAAGACCAGTGGCGGCAAAACAAAGCGAAAGGGTACTCTTCCGTGGCTTCAAATCGACATGAAGGAGGATCACGTCATCACCGGTGTTATGCTCCTCTCCAGCGACGGTTAGCTGTCTTTTTACAAGAATTTCATACATTTGTCAAAATACTTATAGAAATATTGCATTTTATGATACCTACTATTTTAATGATTTCCATAAGTTATATATTTTACAACTCGATTAATGACATTAATATCTCGGAATCGATAGTGGATTCGCTGCACGACTTTGAGATAAGGGTGGGAAACCGACAAATCAATAAAAGGGACAAGGACAGTCATTTCACAGACAATCCGGTTTGCTTTGGATACGATGGCAATCACTTTCTCCAGAAATCCGAGCCACGGGTCGTTAAATGCGAGGTTTTCCACGGATTTCATACTTATTTTCAATGAGTTTGAAAAGTTTAAAATAATTTTTGATTTTTCGATTCTCTATTGTCTTTTCATTGTAAAGCCGTGTCCTTTGATGGGAAAGTATGTAACGATTCAGATCGTTAACAACTGTACGGATTGTGTTAATCCCGGAGACAATTTCATAAATTTGGCTGAACTTGAAATCTACGGATATATTCCTAAATGAGTGATATTTGAATGGAAATCAAGTTCGTTATGAGTGATACCGAAAGATGTTATTTCTATTTTATAGCCCATTATATAGTAATTAAATTTGATATAATATGCAATTAAACGCTAATCTAATCAAAACAATAATAAATACATTAATTTTTTGCGCACTCTTTTAATACTCTTTATATTGTATGAGATTTTTCCCATTATTCTTAAGAATTACATGCAATTTATGTCTGAAAGTACACAAAGTATATATAATTTACTAATACACAAGAAACACAAAAATTATTAATATAAGTGCTTTTAAACTGAATTAATGTCTAGTTATGATACCTGTAATGAAATAAAATGTATTATAAATAAAAGCATAGGTTTTTGTGTGAATTATGCAAAGCAACAGATTTATTGTATCGAAAAGTGAAGAATATTGTGAAGAATATTGTGCGCCAACAGTGAGTGCTATGAATACACTGGACATCAAGACCAGCAAAGAGAAGAAAAAAGTGCAACAAAACTCTTCCGTCACTTTCAAAGAGGTCGGCAAAAACAGGTGGAAGAATGCAGAGCCCGGCCCTTCCGGACACACGAATGCCGTCTTCAGGTTTGATGAAGACTTGGATGACATTCACTTTGAATCCTTTCAACTCAAGGGATTCAAGTCTGGCAATAGGTTTCTATTTATTTCTATATTTTATATTCAAAAATGTACTATAATTTGTTGCAAATAAGTTTTGCGAACTATTCTTGAAATCATATGTTTTATGACACCATTTATCAGAGCTATCAATCAGTCCTTCATTTTATGACATTTTGGTATTTTTCTCTCATGTTTACACATTTTGAATGAAATATTATTACTACAATATTATGATAATTTAACAATTTTTAAAAATTAGCTATGATATTTATTTATTTAATTAAATTAAAAATTGCTAAAACAGGAAAATTTTGCAAAAAAAAGATATAACTTAATTTTAACATATTAATCAAAATTGACAGGTTAGTCTCAATTTTGATTGAAAAGTTTAGAAAGATTAACATAAAAGTAAAATATTTATTAACATTTTGAATTTTTAGCAGAGAATCCGGTATTACTTAAGTATATTATGACATAATATCACTAATTAGTATTTAATTTGCAACCAGGATTAGCGACACTTAAATTGAGAGTTTTTAAAGTGGATGATAACAAATTGTTATTAACAATAATCTCACATTAAAATTATGCTAAGAATTTACAACTTTTGCATTGAATTGGTATAATCTTATTTTTATAGGAAACGTATAACTATTTATTTATTTAATAAAAACAAAGTTATTTTGGCATTCCTATAAATTAAGATTAAATAATTTTTATAACATTAAAAATTTTAAATCATTATTCATTAAACCTAAATTTAAGTAAAATAATTATAAAATAAAGTTATTATTATTATTATACAATAATTGAGAATTAATTAACTTATGTGGTTTTTATTCAAATCTGAGTGAATACAGAATTAAAATCTGTATATTATTTTCAATAATGTATAATAATTTGCATAATATATTTCACATAAAGAGATATTTCTTAGAAACGACTTTTTATTTAGTGATCGCAAAATGTCTGAGGATTCCTCCAAAACGTGGGACCAATTCGTGACACTTCCTCCCGAGGAAGTGGACGACACTCTGAGCACTGAATGGAGTAACGTTTTCGTCTCATTCTTCAAAGTATTGGTCTATTTATTCACTTTCTTTTTGATCCTATTCTGTGCCACACTTTCAATGTCTGCGCTATTATTGATGACATCAATGATCAAAAACAATCAAAGAGTGATCCTTTGCACCAAAGAGTTCATCGAAGTAGGACTCAAAGGCGGCAGAAGTTATTACGCTATATATAAAGACAGTGACCCCGAAAGGATTGGTTGGATTTGGTGCCTGTTTGTAGTGATGATAGCACCGGTGTTTATTACACTCTATAATTGTGCCAAATTCTGTATATTTAAAACATACAATAAGCCAAAACTTTCAACTATTCTCATAGTAAGACTTGATTTTAAAAATTAATTATAACTTATAATTTATAATTATTTTCCATTCAACTTATCAATAGGTGTTTATAACAGAAACTTTATATACAATTGGTTTAGTTTTGTTAATAATCATGATCTTACCAAATATGGACTCCAGTAGAGGTCCAATGTTATCGCATTCAATATCATTAATGCCCGCAATTCTGGCACTTATTTCTCGATTCTACAAAGAGATTAACGAAAATAAAAAGATTTTGTTATCAATTGATTTGGTGTCAACAATCATACAAATACTTTGCTTAATTGGTTGGACAACACTCGCCTACTATGAAGAGAATCGGTATTTCTGGGCCTTTCCTTTCGTTTTGTTATTCTTATCGATCGGTTGTTGGGATAATTATCTCAATATTAATAAATGGAAACATTTGAACACTTTCTTGAGATATTTGTGCGAAATTAAGAAAGACCTCAACACCAGTCGTTACTACACGTACTTATGGATATCCATTTGGAAAATTATCCTAATATTTGTGACAATTGTAATATATTTTGCAATAATTGACTTGATAAATGATACAAACGTAGCTAAAAATATGTTCACTGACTTTACAAAAGCATTTTCTGAGCACCCAATTAATGTAACACGAGTTGAATCAACGGTTTCTAAGGAGGAATTACCACGAATTCCGTCAAAAACATTGGTATATTTATGGGTGATGATGATCCAGATCGGCTCAACATTTATATGCTATGTATTGGCAAAATTTATCTGCAAAATACAGATCCAAATATTCAGTTTCACTTTTCCGCTAACAATAGTCAGTCCAATGATTATAGTGTTAATCAATGTCTTGTGTCGTTTGCATCTGAGATACAAAGACGACTGTCGGCTCACAGAAGCCTTGAGACTGGACTATATCTTCTGGCACTCGACGCTTGACCTCAACGATGACCTCAAACCTATTAATTACGGCGAATCCGCCGTTTGGTTCTGCAGTTTATTGTCGCAAATATGGATAACTCTACACATTTGGGAACCCACTTCTGAACGTTTAGCCAAATTTGAGAACCTCTTCTCAAAGCCTGAGTACAGCTGTGTTTTCGTCGATCAGTCGCTGATTTTGAACCGAAAAATTGAGACCAAAGGCGAAGTGAATGTAAGGAAACTGAGTTCACAAGAGAAGGAGAAACTGAATGAGGAGACGGTGCGGATCTATATGTGCGCCACGATGTGGCACGAGAGCCACGAGGAGATGATACAAATGCTGAAGTCGGTGCTTCGGATGGATGTCGATCAGAGTGCCCGACGACAGGCCATGAAGTGGTTGAACGCCAAGTCTACCGACTATTACGAAATCGAGAGTATTTTACACTGAATTTGCAAACTTTTATAAACTTTATAACATTTTTTGAAATTTTGTTTCAAAGTTCATATTCTGTTTGACGACGCGTTTGTCGATAAGACCTCTTCAGTGAACGGACAGACAATCACCGAAAGAGTTGTCAATCAGTTTGTGAAGCAATTTACGGAAGTGATTGATGAGGCGGCCAGTCATGTTCACGAATGCAATATCCGGCTGAAAACACCGACACTTACGCCCACACCATATGGGGGACAACTTGTTTGGACACTTCCCGGTCTTAATAAACTATTTGTTCATTTGAAGGATAAAAATCTGATTCGACATAAGAAGCGCTGGAGTCAGGTCTGGGATCAGATATATGTTTCATATTTAATAATATATTAATCAATGTATTATTGATAACGTAATGACAGGTGATGTATATGTATTACCTGTTGGGCTACAGAATGAAGGACATGGACGACGAGAAACGCGACAAAATAGCAGAGAATTCATTCATTTTAGCACTCGATGGGGACATTAACTTCAGACCTAAAGCCGTCAGACTTTTAGTCGATTTAATGATTAAACACAAGAATTTGGGCGCCGCCTGCGGGCGCATACACCCCATTGGCGGCGGACCTATGGTCTGGTACCAGGTCTGTTACTTAACCCATGATACAACTATTTGATGTATTATTTAATAAATATATCATTGAATCTATTGGTCAGAAATTTGAGTACGCGATCGGCCATTGGCTACAAAAGGCGACTGAACACGCATTTGGGTGCGTATTGTGTAGTCCCGGGTGTTTCTCGCTATTTCGGGCCAAAGCCTTGATGTCCGTCAACGTTATGAACAAATACACGTCTATAGCCTCGGAGGCCGTCCAATATGTGCAGTACGATCAGGGAGAGGACCGGTGGCTCTGCACTCTCCTCTTACAACAAGTTTGTATAAATGTTGTCATTAACTGAAACTTTCTACAATTCATTCCTACCTTACCTCCAGGGCTGGCGTATTGAATACTGTGCCGCATCCGACTCTTACACTCACGCACCCGAAGAATTTGGCGAATTCTATACACAGAGGCGTCGGTGGGCGCCGTCAACCCTCTTCAACATATGGGACTTATTGGCCGAATCCAAACGGACTGTTCGCGTAAATGACAACATCTCCCGGCTGTATATTATATACCAATTCGCACTCATGGTCGGCACTGTATTCGGTCCGGGCACCATATTCTTGATGATTGTGGGCGCCATGAATACCACACTTGGATTACCCAGTTATTTGTGTCTACTTATTAGCGGTCTTCCAATACTTGTATTCATTTTCGTATGTTTTTGGACCAAAAGTGATACACAAATCAAAGTTGCGATTGTCTTGAGCATCGCCTATGCGTTACTCATGTTAGCCGTAATCGTGAGCACTATTATAGAGATAGTTGAGGACGGCTTATATCAACCGTCGGCCATATTCTTCATCAGTCTGTGTCTCAGTTTCTTAGTGGCGGCCATCTTACATCCCACGGAATTCCTATGTTATCTACCGTTCCCTCTATACATGTTGTGTATTCCCTCAATGTATCTCTTATTGACCATCTATTCAATGACAAACTTAAATGTGGTTTCGTGGGGCACACGGGAGGTGTTGGTGACGTCCGACGCACCGCAACCGCCACCAAAGCCGGCTGAAGACAAAAACGATTTCATGAAGTATTTTAATGTTAAGAATTTATTTCCAAGTAAAGCAAACTCAAGACTTATTAGTTGTATGTGTTGTTCAACCGCTGATCCCAATGAGGATAAGGAGATATTGAAGGAGATCACAGAAATTAAGCACCAAATCACTGATTTTAAGACATCTCTACGATCGCCTGATTCTGTGAAATTTAATCCCATATTCAATGACAATATCACGAGTCCTATAACTCCGTTGAATCGCACCACAAGTTCACGACTTCCGGACATCGATGAGAATGAGGACGAAGAAGATGAAGACCATTATCTCAGAAGATATCCGTCCGGAAGGGCTGATCTGCGAAAATACGACTCAATGGCCACTGATGTCACTGTCTTGACGATGAGTGAAGACAACTTCGATAGCTTTGATAACATCCAGAAGCCGGTCTGGAGTACAGACCAATGCTTTCAATACTTTTCTGAACAAGAATTGGATGAAAACGAGTCGATATTCTGGAGAGAATTCATTGACTCTTATCTCTTACCACTCGATAGCGATCCCAAACACGAGGAGAAAGTGAAGTTTGATTTGATTGAACTCAGAAACAAAATCACCTCAGCTTTCGGTCTATTGAACGCATTATTTATTTTATTGGTGTTATTGCTTCAAATGCACCAGGATGTTTTTGAATTCCGCATAGAATTAGGAAATAATGGTATTTATTAACAATGCAAACCTTTTTTGATTAGAAAAATTCAAACATTTCTATATTTTAAATGACTAGATGTGATCCGGATAGACGTGATCGGGTTCAGTTTAGTCATATTTTTCGGGATTATACTCGTCATACAATTCGTGGGAATGCTTTTCCATCGGTTCAACACATTCTCACTCTTACTATCAGTGACTGAACTGAAAGTCTTTAGACCGGCGATGGAGTTGACGAACGCCGAGCAAGTGATCAGTGAAAATGCGGTCAATATTGTGTAATGCTTTTCCATCGGTTCAACACATTCTCACTCTTACTATCAGTGACTGAACTGAAAGTCTTCAGACCGGCGATGGAGTTGACGAACGCCGAGCAAGTGATCAGTGAAAATGCGGTCAATATTGTGAAACAGTTGCAGAAACTCAACAGTAATGACGACAACCAGAAGGTTAAGAGGACTTTGACGCCCATCCGGCCGGAGACCCAACACATCGTCAAACGTGCGCCCAATCGGCCAGAGTTTGTTGAACTGGAGGACGCCTTCCTCAACAGATGTCTGAGTCTTAAAGACAATTTAGACAGTAATCCAGACATTCATTCATTTCTTCAGCTATCAGTGATTAATGTTTTCATTGTTTTCATAGACGAAGAAATACTCCCGGAATCCAAACTTTCGAGAGGCGGCCGAAAGAGTACTGTTAGGGGAAGGGATGTGAGAAAAAGCATATACAACAGTGTCCAGGGTACTATTAGGCGCAAAACAGTTGTATCGCATTCGTAGTATCACTTAAATATATAATAAATTTATCATCTGTATTAATTTTGTTAATAAATGTTGAGTTAATCACAATTACAACTGTATATTACAAATACAAATCACATTATAATTAAACAAACTTTAAAACCCAAATAAAAGTCAAACGAAAAGTTTCAAAGTTTCAAACAAAACGTTTTCTATGGAAACCATCTCTGCTGTCAAACCACAGATCAATTGAAGTGATAATTGGCATCAAAACTGATAACTAAGACCACAATCGATGGCACGAGATATGATGGACTGACACTCGTGGACAGTTGTCTCTTATATTAATAGATACGACTCCTGAGGAAAGTGTAAGTCGTTTGAATGAATGATAAAATTTTGTCTTTTCTATAAGAATTGATAAGTTTTATAAAGTTTTATAAGTTATATGTTTAGACTTAGTTATGATTGAAATTTATACAATGATTACATCAAATAATTGATAATACATTAAACGACTATTTGATGTGTATTTATAAACACCTGAAACTAGTGGTCAACTCTACGACCGACTGTATGTGCGCTACGTTTTCACAGATTTCTCATTCAATTGAAAGCAACGACTGAATGAATGACTCAAAAGTGACACAACTTTTTGAACTGTAATTCAGACTCAAAGTGAACTGACGTTTGAGTGAATCGTCGCTTTGTTTGACTCAACACTTGACACCATCTGATTGTCTGATTATCTCCTCCACAGCAATGGCCACTATGTATGCGGACCACGGACTCAACCTCAAGACGTGTCCATACAATGCCAGCCATAGAGTGAAAGCGAGTAAATACCAGAAACACATCACTGAATGCGCCAAACAGTACCCCAACAGCGGTCTCGTCGACTGTCCCTTCAATGCCAACCATCGCATACCGGCCCACGAGTTGGCTCAGCACCAGATCCAGTGCCCGGACAACGCGGCCACCATTCGCGGTGTCTTCGAGCGAGCGGTGACTAAACAACGGGACGTATTGGTGGCCGACGGCACGCAAGTGAAGCCCCAGTGGATGACTGAAGACGAGTGGTCTGACGAGTACGCCGTCAAGACGGAGGAGGGCTCGCACGCGAAGGTCAGCGCCGGTGACAACAACTATCAGCACCTCGTAAAGGATAACATGACGGCCGAAGAGGTGTTTGACTTGCGGTTCGGCGCAAAGGCCGGCCAAACGGGGATGGGTTTCATGGGTTGGGACGCACTGCTGCTGCAGAAGATGTCGTGGGAAGAGCGCCGCAAATACCAGATTATGTGCGTCGATAGGATCAAGCGGTTGAAGAGCGATGGCGCCGAAGAGGAGGCGCCGGAGGAGCCGACGGAGGCGTTGGACGCGAACGCGAATGTCGTGCCACAGAAGCCGGTGACTAAATTGGAGGATAGCTTTCGGGTACCAAAAGGTATGCCGTTTGCTGTGCGAAGACCTGTTGAAGACCCGGATGAGAGTCCGGCGAAGAGGGCGGGTGTTGGCAGAGGACGCCTCTCCGCAAACATTAGGGCTAATATGAAATGAATTTGGTTTGGGTTTGGGTTTGGGTTTAAACCTATTTCCCGATTCACCACTAATTCACGAAAATATTTCTATTAACTATAATTTGAAACAAATTTTAAATATAATATTATAATAACTATTCAAATATAATATGATTTGTAAACACATATTTGAGTTAAATGTCATTAATCTTAAAATTGTCTTAAGTTTAAGTAATTAATTTTCATTTAATATAAATTATAATTATTATACTATCGGTTATAGTATTTCATACAATCTATAATTGAATACCGTACACATTTTGTAATTTAGAAATTTGTTATTTGATAATAAATGATAATAATATAAAATTTTTCACAATATTTAGAAAGATTTAAACAATAAGTGAAGCCTTTATTGAATGAGATATTGAATGTCATGTCAGAAGATACTGTCGCGGGAATCGATAAGATTTGTGTGATATCTGGACGATTGGGGCTCCACTTTGATGGCTCTCAACAGATTAAAAGCCACAACCGTTGAGAATAAAGTGATTGAAGTGATGACCCAATAATAGAGCAGATAATTGACATAATTATTAAATCCGAGCGCAAGTATAGCTGTGATTATGACACAGAATATGTCATAAATAGCTAACAAACAGATGTTTAGGCGGAAAGCGCCGATGATTCCGACGGCTGCCATACATACAGCCATCATAACAGTGGTGATGAGGACTGACTTCTTGGTGTGAAGCGATGCTAACAACTCATTGATAGGCATTTGGGAATTCTTGAGAAGTTTCTGACGGTTCACCTCATCTTCCTCTTCGCGAAGTTGTCTCCAAATACACCGAAAGGCATAACACGACACTCCGATCACACATATGTTGATCACTATTAGAATCCATTTACTGATCCTAATCGACAATTTCTTCTCAAAACATTTATTTATAGCGTATTTTGAGTGGATTTGAATGGACTCTAGCACTGGTCTCATATGAAGTTTATCCATATTTTTATGTCAATTACAATGCATTTGTTATTTGAAATTAAAAGTAATTGTGTTCAAGTCTATACAGTATCTCATTGTATAGTTATAACCAATTATGCAGAAAAACGTTTTCAGTGTAATGTTTAAATTACCATAGTAGATAATTTATAGGCAATTGTATTTAACTTATTATTCTGTAATTGATTTGCAATCAGAATAACGTGAGAATGAATATGTCATTGAAATATTTGTTAATTATAAGGGTAGTCAACAATTTCTATGGATCAGAAATTCATTGAATTAACTAACCATTTAGAAATACAGTATTGTAATAACAGTCGTGATCCACATAAATTCTTGAATACCCTTATATATTTTTAATAACATTATTTGAAATCACTTTATTTACTTGTAGTCTTATATAACTATGAAACTAATAAACCTACTGAATCTAATCAAGAATATTCATGACTATTCTATTATACCAATCAATTTGACGAAATATTATTTATTTAATGATTAATAGAAAACATATAAAATTTTTATAAAGATAATTTTATATCAAACTATCAGTGGTATTCATAAACAATTTGGATTTTAATCTGAGCTGGACCTTACATTACATGTTAGCCTACTTAACTAATCTCATTTCACAAAACCATCTTAACTCTTTATTTGAACAATATCTTAAATTCAGTCCGATGTGAGCCCATACACTTTCATAGGGGAAGCCTACTTACAGGGATAAGTTTGATCGGTATGAGTACTTATCTTAATTAAATTTTTAAGATTTAGACATTGTTTTAAGGTACAGCTCAGATTAAATGCGTTTCATAAACGAGCTGGGCAATTACTTAAAATGTGAGACTCAGCTAAGACTTAAGTCGACACTATGAATACCACTGTATATATTCAATTTTACACAATAATTATATTTAATAATGGCTTAACGACTAGACTTTATTTGCAAACAAATTTAATAATAATCATTAAATAAATAATTGAATATAAATAGACATTATTTAATATAGAAATAGTTATCTAATATTAACAATATTATCTATTTAAATGACTTAAGTCTATATTTAACTAGCCTACAATTGGTAGAAACTGAATAAACAAAAAGTTTGCTTCAAATAAAAAGCCATTGAAATAACATTACTGTACTAAAGGTACTGTACATTGCTGAAACATCTTTAGGTTAAGCAAAGGGTATTTGAGAACAAGTTTTGCCAAAAATCGGTCACTTTTTGCAGAGCATAACTGGTAGACATAGACTACTATACGATGGTTGACCCAAATTATAATAACATTTTTTTCGTTCATTTTATGCCATTTTATATTTGATTGTCCTAGGAGTGAACAAATAGTTTAAGCAAATTGTCTCTAAAACTATGTCCGAAAGTTTAAAAGTATTTGGAAAATACCTAAACACTGGTGGTCTGTATCCGTGCAATGTCTTCACGAGTCTGGTTTTGGAGTCTCCGGAACAGGTGCTCACATGCATTGGCGAAGTGGATGGAAGTGTGTCTCTTCAGGAACGGGTGCTCTGCAACTGTTACGCGCAGACAGCCATAGACTGTGACTGTTTGCCGATGCCTTTACTCAATCATTTCGTTTACATAATCTCCTCGTTTGGCAAACACTTTGATTTAGTCAAACAAATCATTGACGCCTTCATTGAGAAGGGGTGTGATGTGAACGCTCTCGACTCAGACATCGGATCAGTTCTTCATTCAGTTATTTGCTGTATTGATAACGACATTAAACTCAATGCCAACGAAAGGGAATCCGAGCTCTCCCTCCGGTGTTTGGATTATTTGCTTTCACTTAACTTATGTGATCTCGACTTAGATGTCGGTTACGAGCGCTTGTGTACCGCCAGGGGAACACCACTGGCGTTGGCTGTCGAACGGGAACTGGTGGTAGTCGTCAGGAAACTCATAGGAGTCGGCGTTTCTGTTACTAAAACAACACTAAATCACTGCTCAATACCAGAGGAATTGAATGAGAAGTCAATAGAGATCTTCAATATGCTCTCTGAACTCAATTGTCGTCTCAATACAAATAGCACTCGACATCACGACAAACAACACAATCGACTCAAATATGATGAATGGATTGAAAGCAAAGCGAGACTTCCTTTAAAACTCAAAAGTTTGGCCCGAATTGTGATAAGGAATTCACTTAACATTAAACTCAATGATCAGAATTTGATTAAATTCCTATCACTTCCCAAATCACTTGTCATTTACTTGAAGTTTGAAGACTATATTAATTGTGAACCTATTTCTACCAATCATTAAATTAATTTTCTATTTTTATGCAGAATTCTGTATTCATTTGAAATATTTTAAAACTAAAATTCAATAAATTAATCAATAAATGAACTTATATTTTGATTTGTAACAAAAATACTGTTTTTATTTTTCAATGATCATTCAACTGAATTAAACATAAAGTCATAAATTGAACATTTAGTCATTATACTATGATTCAAAACTTATTGCAAAAAACAATGAAAAAATAATTATTTGGTAATAGAGACAAACATAATTGGCAGCAAACTTATAAAAAAAACTAATGAAAAAATCACATTATATTTTAAACAATAATTCAAAATTATTTGTTCTGATTGTGGAAATAAACTAAAAAAGTAATTGTGATTAAAATATAATACAAATGATTAGAGATATTCAATGGATTGACATTTTGTAATAGAAATGATTAATACAATCCGAAAGGTCTGGTCAGACGATCTCACAGATGAGACAATTAATGCATGGATTGATTGAGAAATTGAAAAAATTCAAAAAATGTATTAAAGACTGAAATATATTGAAAACTTGAGAAAATACAGAATCAATTGAAAGCAATGAATGACTACTACTCGTCTTCGGCGACACTAATGGCCGGGCATCTGAACGAACTGCAGCCCAAGAACTTACTGCATCCGGGGCCCACTCCAGCGGTTCCCACGATTCGGATGAATGAGACGGGAGTCTTACCAAACTTCAAGATCTGTAAACCTTTGCCGGGAGTGTCAGTCTTGTCGACAATGCGTTCCCAACTCTTCTCGTCGGCCGACACCTCCACATAGAATCGGTACGAATCCTTGTCGTCCTTGTGGTAGATCTTGAACTCCATCGACTCCAAGACGTACGGCTGAGCCAACTGTATGTTAAACGCATTCTTCTTGAGATCATCGCCAAAGTTGCGGACAGGGATGATCGGTACGAATCCTTGTCGTCCTTGTGGTAGATCTTGAACTCCATCGACTCCAAGACGTACGGCTGAGCCAACTGTATGTTAAACGCATTCTTCTTGAGATCATCGCCAAAGTTGCGGACAGGGATGAAGTAGGCGTAGCGTTGGGTCGAATGCAACAGATATAAGTCGTGTCTATTGATGGGATAACTGGACGCAAAACAAGACAACGATTAACAACTCAATCGACACATCATTTCGATCGCAAAATGAATACCGAATTCTTGTGCCGCAGTCGAGGTTCGCGATGTCTTCAGTGGGAACAGTGAAGCCATTGTCGTGTTTGGGCGGGTTGTGAGTGAAGCCGCAGTCAAATGAGTCGATGATAATGTCCGCAACCTTGCCGTCAGTGCGAGTGCCGATCACTTTGATAAACTTGACTGAAATGGTGTCGAAGTAGACCGACTGCCACGAGCGGCACACGTACTTCGAATAGTCCGCGACTTTAGTCCACTTCTCGTTGTCGATGGAGCCCTCGATGAAGTAACTGTACTCTCCTTTGCCTGATATGAGTTCCGATAGCCGGAGCTTAATGTGATTGATCTCATAGGCTTCGGCGAGTTCAATGGAATAGTAGTATCCAATGGCGTCCGTCTCGTGCTTCATGGTCTTGATGGTGAACTTCGGCGTGAACTCAATCGCCTCCATCTTAATGGCCTCCGTATTGGTCGACGAGTCCAACGAC